TAAAGCATCTTTATGGGCAGCAAGTGCCGACCTGCCCAGGCCCAGGGCTGGGGCCGCCGTGGGCCTGTGGGGCTGGCATCTGGGGGCGGGGCAAGCACTCCCTCCATTGGTCCGAAGAGCATGGAAGGGCGTGAGGGAAGGGAGGCCCCTCTCCAGCCCAGAGCCTCCAGAGGCCTGTGGCCACCTACCTTATGCTTGGGGCATTTCAAAGAAAAGTTATCTTCGGTGAACGCGCAACCTGTGGCCAAGAGAAGTGGGTGTGGTTAGGGCAGCCGCTGGCGCCCCCAGGCCCCAGGCTACAGGGGTTCTTTGCAAAGAGGGAGAGAGCCAGACCCATTTGAAGTCCTCCCCAGGCAACCTCGCTGCTGGGCCTCTGCCCCCCTCTGCCCTGCTGGCCTTCCTGTCCTCTTACCGGCCACCTCTTGTTCCGGAGGCCTTCCCGACTCCCTAGATGTAGCAGGCCCCACCCCGGCTCTCCCCGCGCCCTCGGGGGTGGGGGGGGGGGGGCGCTGCGTCCCTAGAAGAGGCTCTGATGCCCAGCGATGCTCACTGAACGAATGTTAAGGGACTGGGTGGTGCAGCCAGGGGTCTGGATTCGAGCATCGGCTCCTCCTCTGAGCCTTGGTCTCCACATCGGAACAGGGCACTGGGGCACTGTGTCCACGTGGGGCAGCGAGGAGGCGTGTGCAGGCTCCCGCCAGGGGTGGGTGTGGACTTGCTCCTGCGGGGCCCGGGGGGAGGCAGGCCTGGCGTGGGGCTGAGCACATGCCCGAGGCATCTGAGTGCCAGGGCACTGCCCACCCTGGGGGAGCAGAGAGGTGGCTGAGCATGGCCAGTCCTTGATGCCCTCAGGCCAGGGCAGTGCTGTTGTCCGCACTCCTCACCTGCTGCCACCTAGGGAGACCCTGGCTTTTCCCTGGACCCCTCCCCACCCACCCCCACACCCTGGTGAGCCTAGTCCTGGGCTCATTCCCCTCCCTCCCATGCCCCACCTGACACTGTTCAGAATAAACCCTAAACCAGGGGTCCTCATACTACGGCCCGCGGGCCACATGCAAATACAAATATTGTATTTTGTTCCCGTTTTGTTCTTTTTACTTCAAAATAAGATATGTGTGTGCTGCATAGGAATTTGTTCACAGTTTTTTTTTAAACTATAGTCCGGCCCTCCAACGGTCTGAGGGACAGTGAACTGGCCCCCTGTTTAAAAAGTTTGAGGACCCCTGCCCTAAACCTACAGCCAGCCCAAGCTGGCCACAGGGAGTCCTCCTGCTGGCGTGGCCAGCGGTGGTGGCTCTGGGCAGTGGCACCAGGACAGCGTGGTGGCTCGTAGGCGGAGGGGGAGGTGGGGCAGGTCTGCAGCCTGGAAGGCTCCAGGCCTCTCTGAGGCTGCCTCTTCTTTTTCCACCGCCCCCCACCCCGCCCCGAAGCTGGGGGCCCACGTTCTGAAAACAGCCACGAGTTTCTGCACGGCAGGGCCAGCAACTGGAAGTGGGTCCCGTGTCTCCTGAGCTCAGGTAAGCCAGACCGGTGCTGGGGCTGAATTCACTCTTTCCAAAGGGCTTCAGGCTAAAACCCCAGGCTCCCCCACAGCACACAAAACGCCCCCCCCCCCACACACACAGACCGCCTGCTTGAGGCCCTGCAGCCCAGAGCTTGAGTCGTCAGAAGCCAAGGGAAGGTTGCCCTTCCACAGCCAGCTTGCCCAGAGCCCTCCAGAACCCGAGCCCCCTCCCGGGCCCTCTCGGTGGCTGCGCCAGGGGAGCCTGCGACCTCGCTGGCACGGTGGCCCTGGCCTGAGTGTGGAAAGGCAGCCGTGGGGTCCTGTCCCTGCCAGTCCTTGGGGTCGCGGCTTAGTCCCGAGTGGTGCTCCTTAAGGAGATCCAATGGGGCAGGGCAGTGAGCGGGCAGCCCTGGTGCCCTGTGGTCTGAGCCTGACCCAGATTCCTGGAGAGCCCCGCGTACCCCGACTTGGCAGACCCGGGGTCGGGCAGGTGTCAGGTGCTGACAAAGGCTGCCCAGCTCCCTGGCTAGTCCCCTCCTCCCAGCCCCCTGCCAGCCGAGTTGCCATGGCCCAAGGGCCACCTCCCTGTGCCTGGAGCCCCCCTGTGCCCGAGGGCTGCCCTCCCTGTGCTTGGAGCCTCACCTGCTGGCTCCGGCTGCTGTTCCTGGGGTGCCCAGGGCTCCCCCTCCTCTGCCGACTATTGCATGATGGTGCCCATCCCCTGAGCCTGGCAGCTCCCGTGCACGTCTGCAGACCCTCCAATGCCACCTGCGTGTGGGGATGGTTGCCCCTGCCTGTACCCGGCCTGTGCCGGGAGGCTCTGCACGCGGCCTGCTCTGGCTACAGGCTGCAGTGATGGGTCCCAGGCAGAGGCCGCAGGAGGACAGAGGCCACATGACCGGGAGGAGCGGCCGGCGGGGCCCGAGGGCGTCCTGCCTGAGCTGGCCCAGCATGGACCGTGGCCCCTGCGAGCTCAGCACAGCCTGCCAGTGGCCCGTGCCCTCCTGAGAAAGAAGGAGGGCTGATGTCTGAGCAATGAAGTTGGCAGCAGTGCCTAATGCACTATGGCACCCGCCTCAGCCCTGCCCGCCCCGGGAGGGTGGCCAGCGGGCCCCGCCGCCTCTCCCTCACCCACACCCAGGTGTGGGCTCTGTGCTGAGTCTCTGGGACGCAGGTTCTACTGGACCCGGCAACCCTCCTCCCCTGCCCGGGTGCCGGGTGACTGAGTGCCCGTTAGCTCTCTATGCTGCCAGTGTCTCTTCCTCCCAGCCTCAGCCTCTCCAGTCGCGGCTTCGGGCTGCAGAGCCCTCCTTTGCTGAGCTCCTTTGACGACTTCACAGCCTGGCACACACATCCCACACTCACCAGCTGGGCCCACCTCCTTTCCAAGCAAGGCTCACAGGTTGCCTCCTCCTGAAA